CATGGGAATCATCATAAAACATAGAAACCTGACCAAGTCCTTGTTTTTGTAGTCTGTAAGGTTGTATCATCTCAGCTTCAGGGGGTCTTGCTTGATCAAACCATATTAGTCTGGAAGAAATCCACAGCTTTTCATTTTCTGTGGAAATATAAGGAAAACCTTTATTTCTAAGTAGCTTGTCCTTAAACTTAAATTTTGAAGTTAGAGCATTTTTAAAATGTATAAGTTGGATTAATTTAGCAGCATTTATAATCAAATGTATTTTAGTAGCAGTAAGTCTTTCCTCGGCGTACAAAAAAATTAAAGACAACAATATGGCATATAGTATCCAGATTCTGTGTATTTTTTCCATCTTTATATGGCTTTTTTATTACTTTATTTTTACTTTCTTTTTTTTTTCCCGAGACAGGGTTTCTCTGTGGAAATCTGCCTGCCTCTACTTCCTTCAGAAACTCCTACTGGCGTGTGCCACCACAACCGGCTACTCTATTTCCTCCTGTTACTTTTTCTCTCACAAGCCTACATATATTTTTAAATATAGTGCAAACATATATTTTTAAATATAGTGCAAAGCTTTAGAGGTTTTTCTTTATCTGGATCTGTCTTTATCATCTCGGCAGTGTGGGACTCCAAACCCCATGAGCGCCAGGACGGTGTGAGCCTATGGAAGCTGTTCCGATGCCTCTCCGTGGCCCGACAGGGCAGGCTGTGGCGGGAGGGGTTCCCCCTTAGGATTCCCTCTTTCTCTGGGAACCTTGGAGCATGGGGTCATCCCACTCCTGACACCATTCTGTTATAAGTCTTTCCACCAAATGCCCCAGAGCCCCACCACCACGTGTGAGCTTTATGCCAGCCGACTGCCCGAGTTATGCCCAAATGAATACACAGAAACTTGTATTAAGTTCAAAGCTGCTTGGCCAATGACTATGGCTTCTCATCTGCTAACTCAGTCTTAACTATCATAAACCTATATATTTTATAAGACTTATCTTATTGGACACCTGATTGGCGTCCCTCCTTGCTGGGATCACATCTTGCCACTGGAGCAGGAGCATAGGGGAAAAAGGGACCCTTCCTGTTTCTCCTTCTTTAAATATGAGTCTCCTTGCTATGTCACTTCCTGCCTGGATCACCACTTCTCTACTACATTTCCCAGAATCCTCTTTGACTCCTAGTCTGGTCTAACGTGCTGTCTCATTGGCCAAACAGTATTTTATTTAACAATCAATAAGATAAACATACACAGTACATTCCCCATCACTGGGGTTGGAGACTCTTGGGCCACCTGGCCAGACTGAGTGTCCTTTTAATGAAGGACACTGGAATTGTAGGTTTCAGAAGGAGACCTTCATACTGAATCCCTAACCAGCAACTGGTGATGCTATTCTACTCTGCTGCTGATTGGCTGCTCACCCTGACTTTACCCAATCAGCACAAGAGCAGTGACTGCCCTGGCTCTTACTATCCTGCCAATGAGTAAAGAGGGGAGACAGTTTCTACTGTGTAAGTTTGTCTGCTCCTCCTATTTGGGTCTCTCTTCTGCTCCACTATAATGGGTCCCTGGCTCCCTAGAGGCTCCTGTGTGGCAGCTGTGGTCCTGACCCTGATGGCCCTGAGCCCTCCTGTGACTTTGGTCAGGGACCCCCGACGTAAGTGCAAACCTCAGGGGCTGAGCTGCTGGGGTTGGGGGTGTGGGAAGGAAGGGGTCGACTTCCTCACTTTCCAGGTTAAGTCTCTTGAATCTACTGATATTCTCTGTGACCAATCACATTCTCCCATTAAAACCGAACTATTTCCCAAGATAGGAGCCTGGTTGTTTGTGTTCTTTCAGATATGTATGAGAGCCCCCCGCAACTCCGCCGCCCATATCAGCCATTGCCTCTCAGTTTCTTCCAGTAACATCTCCAGCCTTATGTCGTATTCCCTCAGGACCTGGAGAAGATCCATAAATCATGATGTTTAATTAGCCTCATGTACAGGGCTTGTCCTCCTTGTGTTGAGCTATATTAGACAAAGAGGTTTCTCTTTAAAAATAGAACTTCATGTATGTATTCTGTTCTGTGTATATGTTTCTGTTATTTTAAGCAACTAAAAAAGGCCAATATTGGAATATCACAGGTCACAGGAACAGGAGGGCATCCCTGGGATGATCAGTGTGTGTCCTCTGTAGGCAGTGAGGCTGCTGCCTGGGTATCCAGGACTCTGTCTTTCTCTCTCCCTGACTCCAGTGTCTATGCAGCCTGTTGCCATGGGGGCTCTGCTGGGTGGTGTTCAGTTCCCTTTCTCCCTGGATCACACAGCAGCCAAGGCAGCCTTAGAGAGTTTGGACTCTGTGAGCTGTTTCTAAGTGTGTGAGGCCTCTTCTGAGGCAGGTTAGAGCCTTCTGATGTTTGTGACTTGATCTGTTTCTATTTCCTTTTTTCCTACATGGAAAGGACCTGACTTCTCTCTGCATCCTGTGATCCAATTCTAGTTTCACGGCCCATGTCTACACCACACACACAGGGATTTCAAAGTCTGAGGTCTGCATATGGGATATAAAGACAGGGTTATTAACCCTGCTAAAAGCATGACACCAAAATCCTGGGACTGTGGACGAGCCCTCTGACCCCTCTGTGCTTTAACTGATGCAGAATGGGGAAGAGACGATGTTTTTCATGGAGCTGTTTAGGGATTGGCAGGGATGGCCATGCAGACCATGAAGGCCTGCTGCCACACTGTGTGTCCTCTCTGTAAGTGCTATCACCTCACTCAAGAAGGGACACAGGGACTTCCAGACGCCTCTCACCTCCTTGTCACACTCCACAGAGCAGGCTCCTGCCCCTGCATTATTGTCCTTCACACAAACTATTCTTTAATTAATTAATTTAAAGGATTTATTTATTTAATGTATGAGTGCTCTGTCTGCATGTCCACCTTTGTGCCAGAAGAGGGCATCAGATCCCACTATTGATGGTTGTGATGGCTGGGACTTGAACTCAGGACCTCTGGAAGCACATCCAGTGCTCTTAACTGCTGAGCCATCTCTGCAGCTCCCTCACGCAAACTATTCTTATGACTTCTGAAACTGCTGTTTCCCCTCCATTTTCTCTTTTTATATAAATCAAACTCATTCTCCTCACTGTTGTCATTTAGGTCTCAAAATACAGAGATCTGTAATTCCATCTCTGAGACTCCCAGCATCCTCTCTCTCTCTCTCTCTCTCTCTCTCTCTCTCTCTCTCTCTCTCTCTCTGTGTGTGTGTCTCTCTCTCAGTCATGGGTAGTGATGACTGCCACAGTTATTTCCCCACAAAAGGCACCGACTTCTTCATCTCTCTGTGCATTTGGTGAGGTGATAATGTCTGGTGCTCGAATGTATCTGAGTGGCTGTTTCAGACGTCTTGTACATTTTCTGAGTTAGAGTAAGTGTGAAAATGAAAAACTACACATCTGAGGCATCTTTCCCCATCTCTAGCTGTAGAAACCAAGAAGCTCACATGGCATCTGATTTTTAAAAGTCCTTGGTTTGTGAATTCTCAGGATCTGTAATTCAGATAAGAGATTGTGGGTCAGTGTTGGGATCATGGATTTATTTCCAGAAACTTCTCCAGTAGTTTCCAGAAGCTCCTGTCAACCCCAAGTCTTGTGAGTGGGGGCTCCTCTTGACCCCACAGCCTCATCTCTCAGCTGCCACCCCCAGCCCTGTGCACTGTGGCTCATGATGTCAGCGCTTGCAGGAGCTTTTACCTCAGCTGAGATGTGTCCTTCCCCTGACACCTGCAGTCCCCCTCTTCTCCTGGCTCACATCTGTGACACATCTGCATGGTCACTCCCCACAGTGCTTCGCTGTCCCCTCCTGTCACTCAAGTCTTCCTGTCAATGGAACTCCATCCCCCTCTTCTACTCGTTCTTCATTGGCAATTTTAAGCTCCAAAGTCTGGGGTGGGGGTTTCACCTGTTTTCTCTCTTTGGATTCCCGGGGCAGCACAGGCTTGCCCAGGGTCAGCCCTGAGACAGATTTCCGTGTTCTACCTGGTGTGTCTAGGAGCATGAGGGATGCAGGTGTGGTGTCTTGTGAGCTGGTGAGGTGAGAGCTGGCTCCCAGCTCCAGGTGGGGCAGGTGTGGGGTCACAGAGGGGCAGGTGTGATCAGAGAGGACACCCCACTGCCCCCTCTGCCTCTGGAATACAAGAGATACATGTGCTGGGAGCTGATTTTGGGGGGAGGTGACCTGAATCTGGGAGCCCACACCAGTCCCTCCTGGATGGTCTGTGACAGGATTGTTCGGTTCTCACGTTTATTCCCAAATTGGCCATTTTTCCATGGAGCTGTGGTGCCAGCAGCAACACCCAGCCCTAACTGAGCAGGGGACAACACTTGCCTTTACCAAGTGTGTGACAGGGAAGGCCATGGGACTCTAGCCCCACACAACGAACCAGGGGCAACCTAGGAATGCGGAGTGTAGGAGAAACCGTCTTCCCCAGGGAGGAGCACAGCGTTTGGTCAGTCCTAAAAACACACATACTGACACATCACACACACTGAGAAGGGTGTGTCTGTGTATTTAGGAATGTACACACATATACACACATGAACATAACAGCTAATGACAAAAGACAGCAAGGAGGGATCTGCAGGAGGACCCATGGGGATGAAAAGAAAGGAGCAAAGGATGTAATTATATTAATCTCAGAACCTACAGGAGTCCCACTGATCGCAAACCACACTTAGGGGCAGGCCCCATTCCCAGCAGTAGATGTTCCCATAGAGGGAACTCCAGGGTATTCTTGGAGTTGTTTGGTCTGTTTGTTTGCTTTATGCCTTAAGGATTTAATGCTCATATATTATGGTTTCAGATTTTGTGTTTTTTATGTTTTCCCTGTGTTTGTCTGTGTTTCTTATGGTTTTTCTTTGGCTTTCCAGTGTGTTTGTTTGTTTTGTCCTATCCTAGTCTTTTTCCTTTTCTCTTAGTGGTCTGTCTGTTTCTATGGGAGAGGGAAAGACAGAGTGTGGATTTGGTGGGTGGAGAGGTGGGGAAGGTCTGTGGGAGTCGAGGGAATGGAAACTGTGATCAGAATAGAAAATTCTATTTAATAATAATAATAATAATAATAATAATAATAATAATAATAATACAGTGGGAGATAAAATCCAATCAGCCTCTGCCTTCTCTCGGGGTCTGGAGGTTGTGGATGAGGGTTAAAGAAAAGTGTGGCCCCTCCTCTCATATTCCACCTAGACGAGGTAAACTCAATGTGCCATGTTTGCTTGATAACCGTGGGGGGTAGGTCCTTCTCTGAAGAGAAGAGGAGTGGGGGTGGGGCTGGGAGGATAAGAGGGCGGAGAAGGGGGACAGTAAGAGAGGAAGGAAGGAAGGGGAAGGAAGGATGGCAGGAAGGAAGGAAGGGGAAGGAAGGATGGGAGGACGGAAGGAAGGAAGGAAGGAAGGGGAAGGGAGGAAGGGAAGAAGGAAGGAAGGAAGGAAGGGAGGAAGGAAGGGAGGAAGGAAGGGAGGAAGGAGGGAAGGGGAAGGAAGGAAGGGGAAGGAAGGAAGGAAGGAAGGAAGGGGAAGGGAGGAAGGGAGGAAGGAAGGGAGGAAGGAAGGAAGGAAGGGGGAGGGGGGAAGGGGGCGAGGGAGGGAGGAAGGGAGGGGGAAGGAAGGAAGGAAGGAAGGAAGGGGAAGGAAGGAAGGGAGGGAGGAACGAAGGAAGGAAGGGAAAGGAGGAAGGAAGGAAGGGAGGGAGGAACGAAGGAAGGAAGGGAAAGGAGGGAGGAAGGAAGGAAGGGAGGAAGGAAGGAAGGAAGGAAGGAAGGGAAAGGAGGGAGGAAGGAAGAAAGGGAGGAAGGAAGGAAGGAAGGAAGGGAGGGAGGGAGGGAGGAAGGGGAAGGAAGGAAGCAAAGGAAGGGAGGGAGGGAAAGGGTGGTGTCAAGTGGTGGTGTGTAACGGTATCGGTAACTGTTTCCACCAGCCGCCTGGGTTCTGCCGCCACTTCAGCCCCCAAACAAACACACAAACTTACATTAGTGACAGTGCTGTCGCCCAGTGTCCAGGGCTTCTCGTCGCATAGTTCTGTCTTAAGTGTTCGCCCAGAACTACTAACGTGTGCATTTTCACAAGGACTTATGTTGACGAGAACCCCAGCCTCATGGGTCCTCTCCTCCCAGGACCGAGGGCGACTCTCTACACTTTACTACATTTCCCAGAATCCTCCTGGACTCCTCGTCCCTATCTTACTTCCCTATTGGCCAGCAGTGCTTTATTTATCAACAATAAGACAAAGTTATACACAGAAGGACCGCCCCCAGCAGTGGGGGTCACGCCTGAGGCAGAGACGGGAAGATCTCTGAGTTCGAGGCCGGCCTGGTCTGCAGAGTGAGTTCAAGGACAGCCAGGGAAACCTGTCTCAGAAGAAAAACAAAACCCCACAGAGAGAGAGATAGAGAGAGATATAGATATAGATAGAGATGGAGATAGAGACAGAGATAGAAATAGAGAGAGAGACAGAGAGAGACAGACAGACAGACAGACAGAATGAACAGACACTGTCCACCTCCCCTAGGAGTTGGGGAAGATTTCCTAGTCCCCCTCCTGTCCTTGTTTACACCCTGTGGTCGTCTGTCCTGTGGGGCCGGGTTGTATCCTTCTGTCCCGTGTGTGGTGACATCAGAGGTGGCTGAGCGAGCTCGGGTGCTGTCACTTGGGGCAGCTGAAGAGATAATTCCCGTGTCCACAGCGCGGTTCTTGCAACAATCTAAATACGAGTGTCATTTCTACAACGGGACGCAGCGCGTGCAGCTTCTGGAGAGACACTTCTACAACGGGGAGGAGTTCGCGTTCTATGACAGTGACACGGGTGAGTACCGCGCGGTGAGCGAGCTGGGGCGGCAGGACACCGAGGACTGGAACAGCCGTAAGGAGCTCCTGGAGCAGAGACGGGCCGCGGTGGACACGTACTGCAGACACAACTACAGGATTGGAGAGACCTTCACTGTGCAGCGGAGAGGTGAGGTGTGAGGGGGGGAGTGGGACAGGGTGTGAGTGTCAGTGTGTGTGTGAGTGAGTGTGTGTGAGTGTGAGTGAGTGAGTGTGTGAGTGTGTGAGAGTGTGTGTGAGTGTGTGAGTGTGTGAGTGTGTGTGAGTGTGAGTGTGTGAGGGTGTGAGTGTGTGTGAGTGTCAGTGTGTGTGAGTGAGTTGTGAGTGTGAGTGAGTGTGTGTGAGTGTGTGTGAGTGTGAGTGTGTGTGACTGTGAGTGTGTGAGTATGTGAGAGTGTGTGTGTGTGAGTGTGTGAGTGTGAGTGTGTGTGAGTGTGTGTGAGTGTTGAGTGTGAGTGAGTGTGTGTGAGTGTGTGAGTGAGTGAGTGTGTGAGTGAGTGTGTGTGAGTGTGTGGGTATGTGTTGAAAGACCTCAGAAGAGGTACTTTCGTAGAAGGAGACCCGCACCCAGGAATCAGCGAAACCACGAACTTTGGATGCAAAAGCAAGAGGCTTTATTAGTAGCGCTGGTACCCGGGGACTCAGCTTTTGGTAGGCTAAGCCCCGAGTCAAGGGAGAGGGGTCCTTATATAGCTAAAAGCACCATGCAGAAGCGAAAAGCATAGTTACAGGGATTCTATTGGACAATTTAATGAGGTACAGAGTTATTTTAGGTCAGTATATTCTCAAGGTCTGCACCTGGTACAACAG